ATAGCAATCAAACGCACCTTTAATTTGAGTGATCAATAATAGCAACCAAACGCACCTGTAATGTGAGTGATTACTCATTAATATTCTTCTTCTTTTTTCTTTTCACTCGGCAAACTAAAAGCAACTCAAAGGAAAGTTTGTACAAACGAGCAATCAACTTCAATTAATCATTTCAGTATTGTTTTTTTCTAGGGATTATAATTAATGTAATAGTGTTGTTACGAGCTTGTCCAAGTCAAGATTATTGGAAATCACTATTCTAAAAACAATAAAATAATTGTGTATATGTGATTACGTGCTACCAATGTATATCTTCAAAAATATCTTTATTTTTAATAAGACAAAACAGCACTTTGTAATAATGAAAAATGTTATAGTGTCACGGAATCATTCCTTTATATAAAATTCCAATAAAAAATTGTCACATCATTTTTGTTTGACTATATATCCAATGATTCATATCAAAACTAAAACTAAAAAATTTAATGGCTTTAATTAAATTGAGGGAACCATTTCCCCACTCATTCCCATGTAATAATAGCAAACTAAAAGTGTGGTGCTTCATCTTTTCTTGCAATTTTTGTTGATTGTGCGATAATGGTTTGTTATGCTTTTGTCCTTGTACATTTTCTCTTAGCTAACCTGATTCTACTGGCTCTCAAAATTGTGAGTGCCCTCGTTATTAATAAAAGATTTGATTTGAATGAAATTTTGACCTCTTCTTATCATTTTAAAAATCGACAAAATTGTGGAGTGTTTAAAATTCATTCAATTCCTATATATCTATCCAAACCTCTAGTATGTTTTGCAAATGATATATCTCGTATCCATTTGAAAATGTGTTTTCATTCATTCATGTTAGAATATCACTTGTGAGTTGTCCCACATCGTTCATATATGGAAAATAGACCCACCTTATAAGACTAATGGGCTACTCCTCCTTCCACCAATTGGTTTTGGGATGGAACCCCATTTGGGCTTCTTCCCTTCTTTCATGGTATCCTTCATGGTAGTGGGCCAGCACCAATTTTCCCCCCAGTTTCTGTCATGGTATCAGAGTCGGTTTTATCTTGGACCGTGTGATGACGTACCCATTGTTTATCCCCCACGTACCCGTTTATGGGAGCCTGTTTGTAGTAGGGCTTGGGCTTTCGAAGGACTCACAAGTGAGGGGGCGTGTTAGAATATCACTTGTGAGTTGTCCCACATCGTTCATATATGGAAAATAGACCCATCTTATAAGACTAATGGACTACTCCTCCTTCCACCAATTGGTTTTGGGATGGAACCCCATTTGGGCTTCATATGGGCTTTTCCCTTCTTTCATGGTGTCCTTCATGGTAGTGGGCCAGCACCAATTTTCCCCCCAGTTTCTGTCAATTCATAGACATTGATATAGCACCCAGTATAGCTCGGTAAACCGACCTGGATGGTTAGCTCAGTCGTGGACGGTTCAAGAGAGATCAATCCGCTTTTAATATCTACACATGTTAATGAGCCGAGCTAGCACAGTTCAGGTAGCTCGGAGGCCAGGCGGCCTACGAAGCTCGGATACTAGAGAGACCTATTTAGCTCGGAGGTCAGAAGGCCTAAGAAGCTTGGATACTAGAGAGACCTCATGGCCTGTAGGTCGTTAGGATTAGGTCGTTGTTACGGCTTATATAAGACTTGTGGCAAGTAGGTAGAGCGGTCGGGATTGTGACCTCAAGACCTAAGAGTCGTGCAATAGGAGGGAAAGGAATCCTTCATGGATGGAAAATGTATATTGCTAAGGACTCTCAGTCTTTCAAATTTAGGAGATCTTGCCAGTTAGGAAAGTGGATACGAGAAGATTTATTTCCTAACCAGGACTATCTTGTTCACCAAGTTACCCTAGATACACAAGGGTATCCAAGTTCTCTACTTTATACAAGACACATATGCGCACAAGAATTTACATACATACTTTAGATTTTATCACAGACAAACACTGACTTAAGCGTCGAAGGATTTTCTATTTGGACCCTTCCCAACGTATCAACGATCATTGGAAATCCGAGATGGTGCAGGTTTGTGCATGGTTCGCGGTTAAACCAGTTTGAGGTAATTTGCATATAAAATCGGCGCCGTCTATGGTAAGTCTCCAGTGCTTTACTGTCTATAAGGGATTGATCGATTTTTCTCACAACAAATTCGAAGAAGTTTGAAGATCATGACAGGTGATAATACCAAGAAGAATTTGATCAAATAGTTGGATGAGGCATGAACAAAGAGAGAATTTGGGACTAGCCCTCCCCCGGGCTAGTCATAGTCTGTTGGCGCACTCGTTACGCGGCAGGATATGTTGTCGGCACCAGTGATTTAAATACCGTACTGTACCGGTCGGTAATGCCCGCCTATTGCTACGGTACAATTACACACAAAATACCAGATTTACTGTTATACTGGTTTGTACCAGAATCATACCGTAAATACCGGTCAATAAAAAAATAAAAACTAATAAAATTTATTAATTAAAAACATAAAATTTAAATGTGTAGTTAAAATGTTTTATTTTTATCTCATTGAGAAGTTGAAATTAATGATTATGGTCATTTATTTTTTTTGCATTTGGTATTATATATTTTTATGTTTATTTATATATATCATTATATTTGCTAGTCCGGTAATACCACCGATATTACCGATCCGACAGTAATACCGCATACCGGTGGTTAGACTGTATGACCACCAGTACAGTATTTAAAACACTAGTCGGCACCCCATACTGCATTAATCCCGCTGTCAGGTACGTCAGGAAGACCTGCGGTGGGACCGAGAACAGTCATCAACCAATAGAAGAGGGGAGACCGGGAAGTTTTAGACCAAACAACGGCTCAAGAAAAGGAAGGACATCAAGAGGGAGGTCCTGGGGCCAACCGACCTTAAGATTAGACAGAAGGCCAACTTGTAGACCAAGAGTACAAGAGGTCCCCAGGGGAGACCAGGTTATCCAGTTCACCAGGGCGAAGTTGGAAAGGAATATGGCAACGAGCTCGAGCACCTAATCAACTAGGTCTTGTCGTACCACAACCATAGCCATAAAGGAGGCTAGAAGAAGGAGAAGCAAGGTCGGTTGAAATTCGTGAATACATTGAAACTAGAATCTTCCCTAGGCTACCTACTATCTTATCATTGTTAAACAATAAGTCATTGAAATCACCTCCTAAAAACCATAACTCCCCCCAATTGAGACTAGGTCTAGTAAGAAGCCTAATATAGGGATCATTACTAACATACACAAACACCCCACAAAAAACACTCCTCTATGCCATTAACCTGAAATTTTAACCTCAATACTCTAGGTAAACCAAATCCAAAATAGTGACCTTATCAGACCAACACAAAAACGTACCACCTTTTTTTTGCTATAGGATTAATATAGCACCATCTATCTTCCAACTTAAGATTATTGCAAACAGTTCATTCAAAACCAATATAAATCGATCAAAATTGGATTTTAAGTTAAAATGAGTTAAAGTGAGTTATTTTGAATAAACTTGATTGTTTGGGATGCGGGATATTGTAACTAAATAATATTTAAATAATAATTAAATCTGATATAAAACTAAGAGAGAGATGATGAAAGTGATAGATAACTAAAAATGTGAGTGAAGAATAATGAACTAAAGTTGATGTCATCTATATCTATATCTATATCTATATCTGTATATATATAAAGAGGTTGTTGGAAAAATACATTAATAGAAAGTTTGACCAAATAAATATAATGTTTGACTTACTATTAATGGAAAGTTAAAAAAAATACATGTGAATCTTTAGTAACAAAATCTGAATCCTATTTTTTTGTAACTAAATTGGAGATTCTTATGGCAAAATTTGAATTCTATTTTTTTCGTATCATATTTTATTTTTTTTACCAAAATTTAAATCATATATTTTTTGGTAACAAATTTGGAGATTCTTATGCAAAAAATGTGTCAATTATTTATGAAAACAATTCTAAATACAAATTAACTTAAAAACCGTACAAATCGGATACAAATTTTGGAAACAAATAGTTGTATAATTCTTAACCAATTATTCTAATCTTATTGAATAATTTTTTCTTTGAAAAAAAAAGTGTGTAAATTGGATAAAACCACGTGCAATTTTTATTTTAGAATAAAACTGATATTTGGAGGGGATGTACATTCAAAATTGTGTCCACATTTTTTGGTAACAAAAGCGGTTCATCTTAGATATATAAAAATTAAAAAAATCTTAATATATCCTTAAATATTTATGAGATCAAGATTTGTTAGGTCTTTTTAAGATTAGTTATGATTTAAAAGAAGAAAACATTATACAAAATTTCACTCTAAATCTCACATTCACACTTAAGATTTCATAGTATTCCTCTAAAATTTGATCATCTTAAAAGTCTCAAATCTTAAAAAATCTCAAAGTGGCACTCAAAATTCTAAACGAATACATATTATATACTTATATCGTCAATTTATAATTATTATCTAATATTATTTACCCGTGCATCACACGGGCCACATACTAGTGTAAGAGAAAGACGATTAATATTATTGAGGATAGTGGTGTTGAGTTAAATTTAAGTTAGATTTTGAGTTAAAGTGAGTGAGTGATCGATCAAAACCAGTTTTGACCGCGTATCAATCACCCTTTTACATTTTTTTTTTAACTCAAAATCTAATTTAAACTTAATTCAACTAAACCATCTTCAATATTATTAATATAATTTAATAATATCAATAAATCATCATCTCATATCACATCAACTTTAACTTAGTATTCATCAACTCACATAATTTTAACTACTCATCAACTCACATAATTTTAACTACTCATCACTATCAATCATCCTTCTCATATTTTAACATCAAATCAACTTTTATCATTATATTTTAAATATCATTTTAATAAAAAAATATCACCTAATCATTCATTCACTCAAATTTGTTTAAAATAAATGTGATCTAGAACAAAACCAAAATAATACACTTCCAATCACCCCTAAAATATCACTTGAGAGGGGTTTAGGGTTTTGTATACTGGCGATTGAAACCCACGCCGTCGCCAACCACGTAAGCCGGCATTTCTCCGCCGCCGCTGTTTCACGCATTTGCCGATCAGTAACAGAAAGTAACTGTTAATTGTTGCGAGTAGTTCTTTTCGAATTAGAGATCGGGCACAAACATCATGTGGTATCTGTGCGTATTCTTCCATAGATTGTTGGAGTACAGGAAAGCGGAGTTCGAATCCCTCGCCGGCCTTTTCACCGACGGGGACGGCGCCTCTGAACTTCAGTGGCGGCTGCCGGAGGACCACCACCCGGACTCACCCTTCCATTTCGTCAATCTTCCTTCTGAAGAGATTGCTCGCAACATTGCGAATCGAAGTATGTGTCACGATGTTCGAGCTTTTGTTTGCCGTTTCTGGCAATTGGGTTTTATCTGTATTGATGTTCGAGCTTTTGTTTGCCGTTTCTAGCAATTGGGTTTTATCTGTATTGATTTCTCATACGGTCCATTGGAACAAATGGATCTCAGGTATTCTTGTTAAAGGGATATATGAACTTTGGGGAGAAGGACGGAGTTTTGAGGAGCTGGAGGAGGCTATCAGTAACTATCCTGATGCCCGGAAGTTGCCGTACTTAACTGCTGAAAGCACTTTCAAAATTATGGTCGAAAGCTTCGGAAAAGCATTAAGCTTTCACGAGCAAAGTGATCGCATACAAAAACTGGCATATATTCCATTTAAGGTCTGCTTCTAGTATTATTTAGATGGCAATGTGAAGTATGGGTTAAAGTTTATGCAGAAGGTTTTGGATACAGTTAATTATTGGGACTGCAGTCACTCGGTTGTAGTATTTCCTTGTGCTGTTTAATATACTGAACAATGTGTCTGTGTATATAGTTTGGTCTTTGTTAATTTTGGATGCATATTTTAAGGAGCATTATTTAAATGATACTCATATACTACACTCAGCAGACAAAACTGAGCATAGTATTTTTAGGACTGAAAGATTATCTTAAATAAGTAGACATATAGGTCGCATGGCGATAGAGACAATTATCTGTTGAGAATTTGATATTGAACGTAGATTGTTATCTGTTTTTTGACTACTACGCTTTGGACATTTCTCAATTATATTACCAACAGTTTCCGTAAAACATGCAAATATGATGTTATTTGTGTAAGTCTTCATTTTGGGGCGTCAATGGAACGTAGTTAAAGATACAAGGCCTGATTAAGATCTGGAGTTGGTAGAAACTTTTTAGCACGTACAATCATTTTTATCTGCTTGGATTTTGTCATCAATGTGAATGTCTAAGTTGAATATCTTTCAGGGGAGAGTGAACCTGCGAAATCCTGATCATAAATTCTGCCTTATGGATAACGATGATTATGGAGAGAATAATGGACTCCCTCCAATTGTTCAAAGAAGAATCTTTTTTGGTAGAGAAGTAGGGGCCGCTGATAGGAAGATATTGCAAACTTACCAGCTAAAAAGCCGCAAATATCTTGGGCCAACAGCCATGGATGCCGAAATTGCATTCCTGATGTCAAACCAAGCACAAGTCAAACCAGGGAAGCTTGTTTTTGATCCTTTTGTTGGTACAGGAAGCATTCTGATTGCAGCTGCCCATTTTGGCTCAATGACAATGGTTAGGATTTTTGTTTTTTCTTTTGAAACTCGTAAATGGCTCGTTTATATTTTTGTCTAATTAATTGGCAATTACACTTTCACTGATTTGAGGTAATCCAGGGTGCAGATATTGACATTCGAGTAGTTCGTGATGGTCGTGGACCTGATTGTAACGTCTGGAGCAATTTTAAACAGGTCTTCAGATTTTATCCTCGAATTTAGGGAATTATTACTTAATGTCTTTTGAACGTGATTGCTGTAACAAGTCCATATTTTATTTTATTTTTATTTTCTTCCATTTTGATGTCACATATTTGGCTACTATATAATACGGTTCTTACATATATGCCAGAGTAATGATAGATGATATTGTAAATGAAATATTAGAGCATCTCCAATGCTCTAATGTTGTAGTAATATAAATTTTGCCAAATGTCAATAAATTAAATGGATTGTGAATCATGTATGAAAAATGTTAAGTCTACAACTATGAAACTAAAATATTCTCTCCAATGCACAATATAGTCTAACTATAATATTATATACTTATCAAATACTAAAAAAATTAAAAAGAAGAACTAAATTAATTAAATAATTAGATTGCTTATAATTGGTAAGAATATTTCTCTTTTTTTTTTCATTGGTTAGCTAGAGTGTAGAAGAGAATGTGGATGAACCACATTCTTCTCTACATTGTAGACATTAATTATGTCCACATCATAACAACATTGGTGATCACATTGTACATTGAAGATAAAAACATGGTGAATTTATTAAATATGTTGATGTGGAATGTAATTTACCACAACAATATTTGACCATTGGAGATGCTCTTATTTGTGAATTGAGGATGGTAACGTATAAAGGAAGCTTTGGATGTTTTATTAATTTCCAATAGAATGCTGATTATTACCCGGACTTTTTTTTTTTGTTTTTTCTCTTCATACAGTATGGATTGCCAATGCCAATATCCTTACTAAGGGCTGATAATAACCTTCCACCTTGGCGTTCTGGTCTAAAAGAGGTAATTTGTTCATGCCAGTGATTTATGCTAATTGGTCCTCAATATCTATATCGTTAACTTTTCAATCCAAACATCAGTTTAGGAATACCATCAAGTTTTGGTGTCATCAGTGTTTATCTTTAAATTAGATTTATTTTCAGTTCCCTTTTTGTCAGCAAGGCATAACAAACATTATCTATTATTTATCTACGAATCCCTTATTGGCAACCATTTTTTTTATGCACTTTGCCTCCATCTTGAAAATAACTGCTAAGAGACTTGAAAGAGGACATGACACCATAACATACAGTTATATTGACAATTCACACAATAGAATTCGAGTAGCTAGTTAAGCGTGTGAACGTTTTCCGATTCAAATTACAATTGATTGACATTTCCACATCCACCCCTTCCCCCGAATTCGGTTTATCTCTCACAATTTGACAATACATTGCCAGTCAATTTATTCTTTCATTCGCATTACACTGTGGGTGTGTTTGTATATGAAAATATTCAATTCATACTCAAAATCTAACTCAATTTTAACCCCACTCCACTTTCTCAATATTATCAATATAATTAAATAATACCAACCAATCATTTTTATACATCACAACAACTTTAATTTACTTTACTCACTCACATAATTTTAATTAACTATCACTTCACATCATCTCCCTCCTACTTTTACATCAAATCAACTATAATTATTTTATTATAAATATTATTTCAATATAAAATCAAAATCCCACTATCAACTAACCATACTACTTTTTTCTANCATTTTGAATGGATATATTTGTATACAAACACGTTACATTTTCTTGACAGGTATTTGATGCCATAATATGCGACCCACCTTACGGCGTACGTGCCGGCGGCCGAAAATCCGGTGGCCGCAAACTACTAAAAGGCATAATCGGCCCTTACACAGTCCCAGACGATAAAAGAACCGATCACATACCTTCCACGGCTCCTTACAGCCTTGTCGAGTGCGTGCACGATTTGCTCGATCTTGCGGCCAAAATGCTTGTAATTGGTGGGAGGCTCGTTTACTTCTACCCTGTCCTTAGGGAAGAAGATTCGCCGGAACCCACTTTCCCGGACCACCCGTGTTTTCATCTGGTTGCGACATGTGAGCAGATTCTTAGCTACAGGTACAGTAGGGTTTTGTTGACCATGGTTAAAGTCGCGCCTTATAGTGAGGAGATTGAGCTGGCGGCTAGGGTTAAGCACTTGGAGTTTAGGGAGAATCATTTGAAGTGGTTGGAGGAAGGGAATTTGCATTCGGCCGTTTTTAGTCCAGTGGATTTGCAGGGTGATGGGGGGGCGTTTGAGAAGTTTAGCTCCAAGCCGAAGTATAGGGGCAAGTATGTCTAAATTTTTTTTGAATCGAGACGGGTTGGTTTTGTTGTGAGTTGTTTGTTTATGTAAGTTCTTGTGTGGTGGTGTGAAGTTTTCNTTTGTTTTTTGCTTGGTGAAGATGGTGGATGAATGGTTTGCTTTCATGTTCATTTGGTGCTTGAAAGTTTAAAATTTAGATGGGAGAATTTGAATATCAAGTGATTAATGGCTTTGAGAAGATGAGCAAGTGATGCTTTTACCCGTACAAGATGTCTGCGTTTGATTAATTTATGGGTTTTATTTTAACAATGTTTTTAACTCATATCATATAGCATTTAATAACACTGATATTTCTATAGGAATTGGATTGATAATAATTTTGTGATATTCCAATTAAGATTGACTGAACTTTTTATTCATTATTTATCAAGGTAAACATAGATATTTTAACTCTATATGTAACATACTTTTCAAATTGAATATATTTAAAAACTAGTCAATTGAATATTTTATATACATAAAATCAATAAAAAAACTTGCTAAATTCACATAATAATAAAGAAAACACAAATATTTTACAACTGTCAAAGAATAATAAATTAATACATATAATATCAAAACACTAAAAAATAACATAACACTAAAAGTAACACTTATAAATGAAAATTTCCATTTATATGGAGAATCACTTTATATATAATTTTCGAATATGTTGATTTGAGTCTAAGATTTGGTAGACAAATTAAACTAGTTTATAATTTATTTGGTTAGCTTATAAGCTTCTTATATTCAAATAAGTCTCGTTTGGTCGGACAAGTTTCTTAAATAAGCTCGAACTTATCTCAAATGCTTCTTTAGGTAGTTTTTCAGATAAGTTAGTTGGAATTTTTATTCAGCTAAATTATCAGCTAATTTTACTAAACACTTTTATCATATAAGTTAGCTTTTCAGCTATAAGTCATAAGCTATAAGCTCGAAAATTACATATAAGCTATACGTTAACTTATCAGCTAGTTTTACCAAACATAGCATGATACTTTCTGTAAGCCTCTGAATCCTATGAAACATATATATGTGCCTCCCTTTGTGTGTAGAATCTCTTTATGTATAATTTTCAAATATATTAAACCTAAATGACATCTTGAAATCTTAGGGATCTTATTCGATAATAACCTTACCAAATTTTTTAAAATTAACCAAACCAAACTAAACAATCTAAACAAAATCAAAAATTTCTATAAACAAACATGCTTTATGCGTTGCATAACCCAGAGCATAGATTCGGATAAAACATGCATGAACTTTAAATTGCAATAATTTGGTACAAGATTCCTATTTGAAACGGTCGAAATAATCTTTCCATCCCTCTCACACCCGTTCTCGCAGTTCCTAAAGTAAAATTATTTTTAGTATTTTTCCACTCCTCTTTTCTCTTTTTTCATATTTATTTTCTTTTTTGTTTGTACCCCAAATTCAAAGACTAACCTTCACTCTTTCATGAATATTTTCTCACCAAATTTCTCTCAAGCGTGGATATCCTCAAAATTTTGGGAAAATTACATACATATGTCTCTATATAGATATGTTTACATATATACTATTAGTGGAAAATTTAATCAAAAGAGGATTGAGTAATGTTTTTTTTTTTTTTTTTTNTCTCTCTCTCTCTCTCTCTCTATCTCCATATATTGATTATGGAGTAGATAATGCTTCCAATCAGGAGTTTGACCATCCATTTCTCTTAAATTGGATCTGGAAAATCAATTCCTAGAGCAAATTTATTTAAAAATATAAAAAGGTGGAATGACCTTTCATTAGATGTTATAAAACTTCAACATTTCGTTCATCGTTTTGTTCTTTATAATTTGACCTTTCTAGAGCAAATTGATTATAATACATTTTTGGTACTTTATAATTTGTGTTTTTAAATCTCAGTGATGGTGTTGGCCTGAAATTAAAGAAAATAAAATAAAACTTCAGCATTTCGTTCACCATTGATGAAAACTAAACATTTTTTATTATAATCTGTTTATGACTTGAAGGTGTATATTCATTGTGTTTATTAACACTAATGTCTGATTTTTATTTTTTATTTTTTTTTGGCTTCGTCTGTCAAAACACTAGAGATGCAGAACCAGAATCCACATTGATTTTGTGCGTATTGATTAGTTTTACAAATCTCATATTTTTGTATATCTAAACGTAATATATACAGTAAGTAAACACAATTTTATTCTTGTAATTTTGAATATTTATTTAGTAGATCTGTTTATTTTACAGGTACATGACTGATGTAAATGCGTTTATGCATCACAATGGAGTGTGGATCAACAACGAATAGTGTACTATCTAGTCGGAGGTATCTTGATTAGTAAATTGTGTGACTACAATCAGCTCCGAGATATTGTGTTTTATAACTGAAAATAAATGCAGTATTCAAATGATCTTGATATGAAGTATCAAGTGAAGGATGAATATCCACCTATGAGTGTGGATGACCTGCTTCATGTCTTTCCTTTTGGAGTAAAACTGGACCATACCGAGGAATATAGGGATGAAAGTAGAATAGCATCTGACACCATTGAAGAGAATATTGTCAAACTCTTCCGATCGACAAGAATTATATACAACTAGCCTCCTCACACCAAGCGACAATCGTTCCAGTACCCAATGTCCAACACCATTTAGTTCAACATGAATGGGAAAGAACACACACTTGTATCAGAACCTTTTGAAAGGTATAAGTCATACAGAAATTTGATCTTCTGATCAAATAGCATGTCGGCGGTGGTGTACTGTACGACCTCAAAAGAACCATATGGTCCGAGTTTTCTGAGATAATAGAATAAAACATCCATATGCTGAAGAGGCTAAAAAAGGCGAAGTTTAGTAGATATCTTGAAAATTTTGCTATAAAACGATAGTCATGTATACTAAAAATAAACATTAGATAAACATGTGGTTCTTCATACAACAACAATGTATACTAAAAATAAACATTAGGTAAACATGTGCTACTCATACAAGTTTTCTAGAATATACAATTGGTAAACATCAAAATATACTCTCTCAAATATAAGCATCATTTTTACACTCATTTTCAACATTACATTTAATATCTCAACCTTCAATACTGGAAAGGAAATAGAAATGAAAAAAAAAAATGGCATTGGTAAGCAGATCTTTCAAACTCATTTACTTTCTCCTCATAATCCTCACTTTTGAGACTCCCATTGCCACTGGCATGTGCATCAAACTCCTCCACAGGGACTCCATTCAATCCCTATTTTACGCCCGAAACCGAACCGAAAGACTCAAACTCCTTCTTCATACATCATCATCATAAAACATCAGAACCAAGATTTTCTTAAACCATAATAGATCACAAAACAAAATCTCGACCTCGATTCGCCTGATACTCGACAACCAGGATCTAATGTACATGGTCCAAATCAGCATCGTCCGTGTAACTTAAGAAAATTGAGTTAGTGAAGTTGATCGTGAAAATATGTTTAGATATACTGTATATATACATAAGATAAACGACATGTAAAAAATGCATGTACATTAACCGTATAGTTATACGTAAGATAAACAACATCTAAACAATACAAACGAGATAAAACATAACACGTAATTTTGATATACTGCAATATGATTAAACTTAAGATAAACAAACAATATATAAACACAAAACCTCGTACAACTAAGGCACATGTACAATTAAACATATTTAATCTAAACCAAATCTCAAACAGTATTCTTGTTGAAAATAAGAAGAATCAAGGGGTTGGGGTTCGACAGATGATGCGACGGCCAACGATGGAGGAGTGTCGTGGTGTACCGCTTGGCTCTCGGTTGAGAATCTTGCCAAGGAGTGACGAAAGACGATGCGACAGCCATCGGCGGCGGAGGGTTACGTTGTCCCGCTTGGCTCTCGGTTGAGAATTATATTTTTGGAGCGGCATCTTAGATTCAAGGCTCAACGTATGGCGGCGGCGACCGACTTCTTTTGGACGACTTTATGCTCGAATGTTTAATTTTTAGTTGTTAGACGAGATAGTGAGCGAGTTATCAAACTTCATCTTCACTATTGTGATGATTGACATCTTGTTTTCTTCGATTTGCAATTGATGAATCTATGGAGGAAGATGGGGTTTGAGTGTTCTATGGAATTTGTTTTTTTCTCTGTCTCTTGTCTTGTATGAGGTGAAGAAACACAAAAGCCGTGATTTGGTGAGAGAAATAAAATCTTTTTTTTTTTTCCTTTTTAGCGGTTGTTTTATGGTAATATATGGATTATCATGATTCCCGATATTCAATTTGACCAATTAATTGTGTCTTCAGGATGATTGTGATTAATAATTCTAAACCGCCCAAACCGTCAATTACATATTTAATTGAAACAAAAAACATTTGTATTTACAAAGAAAAGTTTTCACTTTCGTATTTTTACAAATAATGTTAAAAGATGTAGTAGAGGGAGTAAATTTCTCCAAAATTTTCCTCTTCATTTCACATCTTCCTATCTTCTCTATCTTAAAGTTTTTTCGGGTCCATATTACACAGTACTACCACGCTGAGGCAGGCCTTTAGAGGCCCATCCCATCTGACTTTGGGCTGATGTATTTTGGGCCTGTATGGTCGGTTGGCCCACCAAATAGCGGTTTGAGGGGCTAGCTCCTTTTCCAAGAGGTACTGTATTTCCAGGCTTTCCCGTCTAGTATGAAATCAGTGTGATACACGACAACAATAATGGAATTGTATAATTAAGATGGTGATTAATTTAAAAATAATATTTAAAAAATCAAACAACTAGTTTAAGTTATGTAACCTACACTGACTATAGCCTAAACGAGTTGAATAGAAACTAGAAAGCTTGATTTTGATTATACTACTTGAAATAACCATTTGAGTGAGTGAGTTTTCATCTGTGAATTTTAATTAATTTTCTTACAAATAGTTTAGACACTAATATTATGCAGCTTTATAACTTAACTAATTTTATTGTGCAATTAATCATAAGAACCAAGGTTTAAGGGACACGTACTCATCATTTCTATCATTTATTTATTTTTATGTCTATATGTTTAGCTGCCTAGACGAAGTTGAGCTATGAAATGGGACCCCAAAATTCATATTGAGCTTTATCAATTTGTTGATTGTAAGTTTGTAACTAGTGGTATATCCACTTTGTCCACATTTTTATTTTTTTTTTATTTTTTTTTTTATTTTTTTTTTTCCTCTTACTTTTGATCAATAGAAGGGGTGTTGACTATAAACTTGGACCTTTTTCTTTGACCTTTGATGTGGGGGAAAAACATATGATTAGAATAATTAGCTTTACTCAAAAGCCACATATATATTGGGCCAACAATAATTCAATAGTTTGTTAGTGTTCCCATTGCGTCTCTATATTTTAACCACGAATCATCACCTCTAAGCGGGGTAAGTAGAAAGGTTTTAGCTTGTGTTCAAGTCTGTATTTTATTTTATTTTATTTTTTTTAAATTTTTATATTTTCTCTGTTTAGGATATTTCATTTGGTGTCTCCATCAATGAAACTAAAAAACTTTATGAACAAGTTGAGATTTGGCCCATGAGGGGGCATGTCTTGGCAATCATAATGACTTTCAATTAAATTTGGTATTTCCCAAGCAAAGTTCAATAATACTTAAAAAATAAATAAAAAATATGAAACACAGAGAGAGAGAGAGAGAGAGAGAGAGAGAGAGAGAGAGAGAGAGAGAGAGAGAGAGAGAGAGAGAGAGAGAGAGGAAAACAGCAACCAACCATGAATTTTAAACATGGGACTTGCCTTTGCTAGCAATTAAGTGTGCAGTTATAATCAATCTCCTCTTACACTCTTGTGCATGTGCTTTGTTTGTATATGCAAAATGTGTGTGGACGAGATGATTGCCATGCTCAGTGCTTACGACCTTATTAAGCAATGAAATGGTTTTAATTTTATCATATCAAATATACTTACTTGAAAAATGTCTCATCCTTTCTTATTTTCTACTTGAGTATGTAAGCGTGACATATTAATTGTGACTATATATTGAATTATGACACAATTTTTGGATTCCATTCGGGACATAGTTTGGACCTATCAAAATATTTTGTGTAGCTTGTGTCCAAGCCACATGAAATTTTTTGATTCAAAACATATTTAACTTTAACGTACAAATGTTCATGAAATCCTATCAATGTTTTGTATTATTCACATCTAAAGGCTAAGTGTTGTTTTCTTATTGTTTTATTTGCGAATAAACCATCCGATCATTGAAATATACTTATATATGACAATAGGAACTAAACTTCTCTAGCCACTCCGCCTTGTCTGACCCTTAACGGGTTAGACTGGGCAATCCTACGAATTGGGTTGGGCCTACCAATCTTGGCCCAAGTTTATTTTTTATTATTTTTTATGTTTTACTATATTTATCTAATATTATTGATATAATATTATATATATATATTATATATATATATATTAAACTATATACAATTTATATATAATTGTTGATAACATGTAGTTACTAAACTAGTTCGAACGTACAACAACAACATACCCAGTATATTCCCAACAGGTTGGGGTCTGGGGGGTCAGTTGTACGCAGACCTTACCCTTGTAATTATACGAGACTGTTTCCGTAGCGACCCAAGGTGCATTGCGCCGTTTGATATATATTTTTTTTCTAGAAACTTCACTAATAGAAGAAGCACTAGAATTTAATTGAGCCATTTTGATCTAGTCCATTATTAGCACTATGCCAGGAGAATTGTCAACAATAACTCTTCCAGTTCCATTTGCAATGGACAAAAACTAGTTCGAACGTAAAAGTAAATAAATTTTGAACATGACGAGAGATCGCCATAGAACAAGAAATTGGCACTGTGTATTGAATTGAGAGTAAATGTGTATTTTGTTAGCTTATAATTGAACGTGTGTATGTAGAACAATTTGATGCAGAATATATATACACAACTAAAGTGAAAACGTAATAATTGTCGTGTGCCAACTACAGGGTGTGAGGCGTGTCGGGGAAGGCCGCATGCATGAAGTCACGTGTCAGTGCTACATTTGTTGATGGAACTGATTGGATGGATGTTATTTTGGTTTTTGTTTACATTTGACCGGTGGATTTGGCATTGGGTGTTAATTGATGGATCATCAACCAAATAGAGATCTATAGACTAGCGTGGGTTGTCTTACACATCACATCAACTTTAATTGTATATTCATTCGGTGACATAATTTTAAGTAATCATCATTTTACATCTCTCTCTTCTATTTTTACATCAAATCAATTTTAATTATTAATTTTTATATATTATTGTAAGATAAACTCAGAATCCTAACAAGTAACAACTACACCACATTTTATCAAATTAATTTTGATTAATTATAAAAATCTATTTTAAGTGGATACATTCAAACTCGGGAATGCCCACGTTGGATATTTGGTTGATCTTCTTTCTAAGCATCACCATTTAAAATTGGCCCATGACTTGGGATTTTGTGCAAAATATACTGATTGAAAAAGTAATGGAGTGTAAAAGTTGTTAACCTAGGAACTGCAGAAAGCTTATATGTCGGTCATGTCAATGGTTAAATAATAAATATTATTAGTATAGACAAGACGTGAAAGTATCTTAGGAAGAAAGATATGTCAAGTAGGCCTATAAGTGATTTATTTGTTGATTACATTTAATAAGAATGATGATATAGAAATAAAAGGATATATGGTGCTGAATTCAATTTAGTATTTTGTTGGAAACCTTTGATTTTGACCAGTGCAAGTTGATTTCGAAAAGCAATTTGCAAAGTTGAAATTAAGTTGATTAGATATATGAGTAGATGCTTTTAGGATTTTAATACAAGTTGTGAAGTGAGGTAATTAATCCCGAGCCTATCTTGCAAACGTGCATCCGGTCAGGCTTATAACGTGGGTTTGGTGCCTTGTCCTGATTGCATATTGAGTTTTGTTACCATACATTTTACTTGGGAAACATTTGCAAAATCATAAATAATTAATTTTTAGTCAAGTTATATTGATAAATAATAAAATAGTATTGACTTATAGTTAATGTTTCTCATTATAAAAAATGAGTAGTGTTATTATTTTTAAATAATAAAATTTAGTGTGAAGTAAATTTTAAAATAAAATAAATAGTTTAGTATTATGTAATTGTTTCGAGCAAAATAAATAAATAAACTTGCGGATACCAACCAAAAAAAAAAAGAAAAAACAGTTCTATTCACTACAACAAAATGATGAAATTCCAACGAAAAGTTTCAATACAAATATATTTTAATGGAATTTCAGCAAAAATATTCCGTTGGAATGAGTTTCCCATTTGAATTTCCATTGGATATTAAAGATTCTAACGATAGATTTTCCAACAAAGGTAAAAATAAAAATTCAAAATGAAATTCCTACTGTAAAAAATCGTTCAAAAAATAGTCATTGAAATCATCAAATTTCATCTAAAATTCTAATTGAAAAGTCATTCCAACGCAATATTTTCGTTGGAATCATTCAGCGGAAGCTATACCATTAAAATATTCATTGGAATATATTATCGTAGGATCTTTCGTGGGAATATAACAATTTTTCTGTTGTGATTATTGTTTTATTTATACTCTCAATCTCTAGTCAATTTAGATGGCCACACTCATTCCAATTCTGACACTATTATTGAAATGGATTAATTAAACTAGATAAATAAAAAATGTGATTTTTTTTAAATAAACAAGATTGACAATCCAAGAAGTTAACATTACATGAATCTACAATGTGAATTACATCCATGATTTATTTCTTCTTTTCACTTTTTATCCACTAAAGTCCATCTAGCACAAGAGAAAGTTAAAGTACTCTTTAACTCCTTAATTACTCATATATACTTATTTATTGTCTTTATTCAAAGAGTGGAAAGCAACTCACAAAAATTCACATACTTAATGTATGCTTTCTCAACATCCAATACAAGAAATTATTAACACGCGCTTCAACTATTTTAGGCACAATATTTAGTCATTCCTACAAAACACATGATTCTTGTGTTGATCACATATTACTTCAAGAAAGCAAAAGTTTTTACAACCGAACAACATATTTTTGCCTTAAATCAATTTCTTCATTACTTTCAAAAAGCCTCGAGTGTGGCTTGCATCACAAATGACCCAATGCTTGCCTAAGCAGCCACCAATTGAGAGAGAAAAAAATAAAATAGCTTTGTGACACAAACAAGACAACTAGCAAATACCCATCATGCCTCAGTAAAGCTACAAAAAAATCCCCAATCATCAAATAGGCCGACGAGCATTACAACCAAAAGAAAAAACAAAAAAAATAGAAGAGAGAAAAATTACGCAAAAGAAAAACAAAGAAAACAAAGATAATGATAATGTCCCACAAAGCCAATAAAGAAGCCCACCACACCCATTGGGCCCACTATGAGCCAAGCCCATCTTTCTTCACCCAATAATCTCCACACGTGCGAATCCCCCGGACAAAATCAAACCCATCCATCATCAAGTGCACGCAATTTTCAAGCAACACCACCATTTTTTTTTTTTTTTGGGGTGTATTCTTTGCTCCATTTGGATTAATCTCATCTTTATCTTGAATGCTTGTGGTTGACCTTTGCATGGATTTTCATAGAAAAGAACTAAAATTTTCCAGGTGTCACCCTTTGGACATCGCTTCTAAAAGAATATTTTCATGCAACCTCAAAATCAAATCTTGGTTCTTACATATTACTTGAAACTGTGAAACAACATTAATTTCACTAACACTTTGATTATGTAACTTTTTTCTTAATTAAATTTTGAAAACTAACTAACTAATTGTAATTTGGCTGATTAATCTCATCAAGGTCATCGAGAGACAGGAAAACTTGATCCAAGCAAGAAAGCTCGGCCCCATCATCATCGTCACTATCACTGTTACGTTCGTACACACGACAAACAACCCATTTACCATAATCCTGCAATAATNATAATTTTCCATGATATACTAAATTAATTACCAACAATCTTTTACATTAATGTGTGTGTACTTACTTTCTTGGAACTTCGTCTTTTAGATGAGGATCGACTAGTGGAGCCCGACTCCGAAAGCCGATATTCTTGCATTATCCATTCGGTTTGGACTCCTTCGGAAGGCTCTCCGTAGAAAAATGAGCTGTACTTTTTCATGCCAATTTTTTGGCCGGAATTTGAAGAGTAGATAGGCTCCTCAGCCCCTATAGCTTGCCAATAACCGCTTCCGGTGACTCTGCTTTGTGTTCTCCGGCTATAGAAATACCACTTGTTTCCTTCACCCATTGCTTTCCCTACATGCATTAGAATTAAAATTAGAATTAGAAAAAAATCATTTTTTTTTTGTTTGAATTAGAATTATATGAGTTAAGATTTTTTTTTGGGTACCATTTAAGTCCCAAGGGTCATAGGGAAAAAGGTCGAGATCGGGGATGATGTCGGGATGACATGGGAGAAGGGCGGCCTTACGTTGGAGGAAATGGACGACGAGCTCCTCGTCTGTGGGGTAAAACCGGAAACCGGGCGGCAAGTTGAAGTTATTGTCACCCATCAAAGAGTAGTAGAAGGAAAAAAAAAGTTGGCAAGAATAATTTGTAAGGTGGCTAGGGAGAGAAAGTAAAGCACACGAGGGTTTGGGTTTAGGTTTGTGCAATAAGCAAAAGGTGTAGTTGGATTACTATTGAGATATGTATGTATGTGTGAGTGTATTGGTGGGTGGAATTATGTTGTGTGAAGAGGATAATAATAATATGAAGATGGTGGCTATAATGGTGAGGTTGTTATTGGTATTTATAGTGTGAGAGAGAGAGAGAGAAGAGAGAAGGTGTGTGTGTGTGGTGACGTGAAATGGAAGGTGTGTGAGTGTGTGTGTGTATTTTGGTTTTGGTCACCACCAAAAATTGGAGGGATGGATTTTTATTTATTTATTTTTAAAAAAATTGTTGTTGTTTTTTATGGGCCTTTGTTTGATATTTAACCAAAGTGTTGGGTGGTGTGTGCTGACTGCTGAGTCCCACTCCAAGGCGGCGGGTGAGAGAAAGGGGAAAATTGTTAGTGTGCTTTTTAAAGTAATGAGGGGTTTGGTTTTGTTTAGGATGTATCATATAGATCTAGCAACCGGGTTGGGCCCGGCCCCGTGTTGACTATTGGGTCCAATGGTCAACTCCGGCCGCACTGGATTTTTTTAGAGCTTCATCGACTCATGATTCGAACAACTGCTTCAAATACAGTATCTTGAACATATTCTGTACAGTCCGGCCAGATTCGATTACCTTCCTTTCTAATTAAGGGCATGCAAACAACTTGGACCGGGTTTGTGCACGACTTGATTTGCCCTTTAATCTGTTCGTAGACGTGCAAAATGGGCTGAGAGAGGCTTCCGTCGTTAGCACTCCGACGATCAAGTCAATTCAAAGATGAAGAAAACAAAGAACAGTGTATGTAAAGCTCTGTAAGTATGTAGAGAATGTAATATTGCAATGGACAGACATCAACCTATATATAAGGGTGTGTTACCTTGTTGTCTAAGACTGCCCGAACTGTCCATCCGTACTGGCCGATTAATCTGAATTGCCCAATTCTATTAGGCTATCCGACCCTATCCACGTATGGTTCTTATCTTAATAATACTCTTTTTTTATCCATTAGTCTGCTTTATAAGACAATCTAATCGTGCGACCAACCTGATTCACCTCGAGGTGGAGTGTTGTCTGTATTAAGCTCGTATGCTCTGCTCTTACGTCCGATACATCAACAAGTCATACCATCAGATCGAGTTCAACTAAACCATTCAAGGGCCCTAGCTCGACCTATCGGTGTGTTTTTGGACTTGCAACTTCTTCATCGACTTGATGACTCTTTGCTCTGTAGCTCTGTTTGACCTTCGTTTGACCTGTCTGTAGCTCTGTTCCATCAACTTGTTTATCCAACTCATTGGCTGGTTTATCGGGTCTATTCTACTTAGTATGATATCCCATATCACATTGTGAGACAAATTTGATGCTATTCACGTGGGCTTATGACTAACCACGAGATATTAAACGTTGCATATCATATAGCCATGGAGGTAGAGTAAAAGCTACTCTATTTGTGTAGGAAAATATTTTTAGCTTTGTAAATAGGATTAGTAAAAAAGAATTTTTTGCTTTATGAGGTAGTATTATTGGAGTATTTTACACACATGTCTCTTGCAAAATGAACTTTTGAGCATTAGTAAAATGATCTATCTGCATAATAAACTAAAAGCAATCCATTTGAATAAACTGAGGGCCAAAAGGGAGTTATATGTGTCTTGTCCCTTAAAAAGATCAAGTCATGATCCTCATTATTTGTTTTTGTGCTAATATATAAAATATGAAATGAATTCTTTTCTTTTTTTTTATATATAAAATATGAAATGAATTCTTTTCTTTTTTTTNTTCGAACCAGTGAGTAGTGACAAGTATTTGAGAAATCATCACACTTCATGCTTACATCATTTGTCTGTACACGTGGCGTGACACCTATCATTTGTGATAGTGCTCGATTATAATTCATAACCGCTAAGTTTAATGATCCACTTACTCGGAGTGCCCATAAAATTGATTGTGGAGCTCTTGTTGTGTCTTTCATTAATTTCTTGATTTTTAATATGTTGCTTTTATAATACTTGCTTCAAATTTGCATATTCATTTTAATTACCTCATAAATATATATACACAATGCCAGTTACGTTTCATCTGTGTCGATGGAAAAACAAAATAAAGCATAAAATTGGAACATACAATATATAATATTCGCAACTCTAATTTGATTTGGAGAGAATTAATTGTATAAATAATTTTATTCATGATTAAGTAAAATTTCGTACATTTTAAGAGATTTTAATCTCCAATTTTTATCAATCTGATATATAGAATTTCATTTATGTAATAAAATAATTTTTAGGTTCGATCGTGTGGATGAACCACCTCAAAAAACTTAATGAACCCCACCTATAGTTAATTGAGAACTCATTAAAACAAAGTGCTGAGAAATTAAATCTTTTGAGATTGCATTCAAATTGTATTTTATTGTAAATGCAATTGAAATCCAAGACAAGTTGCATGTGCAGTCCTAAAAACTACGTGAGTAGGTTGTTTTAAAACCCTCCATAATCACTTTTAAGGAAACAATATCATGAAATTACGGAAAAAAAACCCCAATTAACTTCATAATAGCATAATCTGTGTCAAAAGAAATCCAATATTTAATTGCATTTGAACTTTAGAAACCAATCTCAAACAATCAATGTTTATATGAGGCTG